GGATTGGGTGAGGGCGGAAGTGAGGTAGTTGGCCATTGAGGGACGCAAAAGGTTTAAAAATTATGAAAATAGTCCAACAAATTAAAAATACATGAAAAATTGATGAATGGCCCTCATGCAATCTATAGCTAATTTGGTCATATACAATGTTTTAAAAAACAATCTAGAAATAGAATCGTTTTGGGCAACGGTTTTTGAGTCAACGGTCTGATTGTCAGGTTTGAATGTATGACCCGTTTTAACAGTAAAATAAAAAAATAAAAAAATGGTCAACAAGTGTGTATCAGCTGTGATTGGATTAACAGAACATAATAGAGAAACAGAAAGTTAATATGGTCATATATATAGAAATAAAAAGGAAGAAACATTCATAGAAAGAATTCACAAGTTCATATATTCTCATATATAGTTTTTTGGGAAAACGACAAAAAACTAGAAGAGCTAAAATTACATCTCCATGTATAGTTGAAAAGATGACCGTTACTCAATCCCAAATTTCTTCTATTGACTTATAAGGCCCGTTTGGTGAAACAAACATTTCTCCTGAAAATCCTCTTCTCTGAGGAATCCTGCTTATCTTGTCCAATTCTTCACCACTCAATTCCCAATCGAAGATTTGGAGGTTCTCTTTCATCCTCTCCTTGTCGAAGCTCTTCACTATTGGACTCACCCCTTGCTCATGTATCCATCTCAGTGAAATCTGTGGACAGAAAGCAGTTGCATCATCAAAACACAACGAATTAAGTGAACAAATACCAGATAAATTATCATTTAATAATACCTGTGCCAGACTCTTTCCCTTGGCCATGGCAATATCTTTGAGAATTGGACTCTCCATGACTGCAAGGGAACCCCATGAAGCTCCATTTGCCGCCAAAGGTGACCAGGCGCAGACATGAATCCCATTCTCTTTGCAGAATTCCCTCAGCTCGTTCTGTTGCCATGCAGGATTCATTTCAACCTGAATTTTTATTTATTTTTTTTGCATTTTCATCAGTTTCATCAGAACCCCATGATCATAGTTTGTCATTCATAGTCATTTGTCATCATGTGTATGCCAATATGAAGTACCTGGTTCACTGCAGGGGGGACAGAGGCATGACCCAGAAGATCAGAGAGTTTCTTGCAAGAGAAGTTGCTGACACCAATAGATTTGGCAAGGTCCAGACTATGACACTCCTCCATTGCTTCCCATGTCCCCTTCATATCGAAGAGGAGCAGGTCTTCCTTTGCAAAACGGATAGGGTGAGCTTCATGTTTCACCCTTACAGGCCAATGAACGAGATAGAGGTCTACGTAGTCCAGCCCAAGTTTCCTATAAAAAAATCAAACAGTTAGCACATCAGAATGAACCTATAAATCTGATTAGTGCAAAAGTTCTAAGACCAATACAGAACTGAAGAGATGCCTTGAGGGCGGGGAGGACGAGGTCGGGGTGGGCGTCGGTGCACCATAACTTGGTAGTAATGAAAAGATCGTCCCGGCCRGCGATCAGGCCTTGCTTGAGTGCGTCGGCTATGGCTAGGCCTAGGGCCTCTTCAGTCTGGTAGAGAGAAGCAGTGTCAAAATGTCGGTAGCCAAGCTTGATGGCGTCAATGAAGATGGAGGAGAGAAGTTCATTGGGGAGGAGGGGGGAGGCTACTGTTCCCAGGCCTAGCGCTGGCATCCTATGGCCAGAGCTCAATACCACCTCTGGAACCATTTTTCTCTCCTCTTCCTGGTTTTTTCTATCCCGTGGGATTTGATGCTCATGATCAGTAACGTAACAGAGGCAAAGCTATATATCTCTCTCTGGAGATTTGGCCTCCCCTTATTGACTACAGGTGTCTTCAACTCGATGATCTCATATCCTGTGGACCCTTTAATCAACTTTTTACATAGACCCACCAACAGAAACGTAAGAATACATCAACTTAAAATGCTTTTAAGAGACTAAACGTGGTTAGTATTCTGTCTCTCGGAAAAAGAAAGCAACTGGTTAGCAAGTTAGCATTCTGTCTCTCAGAAGCCGCCATTGATGACAAAGTCCAACCGCTGCGAAACTAGCTTGCCCTCCCCCAGCTTTCAAATCCTCCTCCTTATTTAATTCAAAAATAATTTAAAAAGTTAATCGTGATTTGATTGAGCAACTTCTTTTGTTATTATAAGATTATTTGAAAAACCCAAACCATGTAGAAATCTTCTACTTTTTTCCTTTCAAAAATTTCTCCAAATCCATCACGGGCTTTGAAATGGACCTTCCCCTTGATGAAACATACATATTGAGTAATTTGAGTTTAAGTACGATACGTAAATGACTACACAGGTCAGCCAGAAAATAGAAAACAAGATAAGAGGATAAGCTAATAGCAATTAAAGTTGTTAGCACACGCTATCACGAAGGTGACGTGATTGTATCCTTAACACCCCATAAACTATCAATTATTCTTCACATAAAATTTAAAATATTATTAAATTCAACATTTAGTTCATAAAATTTATATTTTTTCAAACAATACATAAGGATAACGTGTTTCAAATAATATTCTTTCAAATAATACAAAATATTATTAATTCAACACTTAATATATAAATTCAACACTTAATACACTTTCGTTATACGCTTTCGTCATAAAGACATCAAAACCCTTGATTTGGCTCTTTCAATGCATGTCTACAACAATGTAGTTTGTAACATTATATGGATTGGGTGAGGGCGGAAGTGAGGTAGTTGGCCATTGAGGGACGCAAAAGGTTTAAAAATTATGAAAATAGTCCAACAAATTAAAAATACATGAAAAATTGATGAATGGCCCTCATGCAATCTATAGCTAATTTGGTCATATACAATGTTTTAAAAAACAATCTAGAAATAGAATCGTTCTGGGCAACGGTTTTTGAGTCAACGGTCTGATTATCCGGTTTGAATGTATGACCCGTTTTAACAGTAAAATTAAAAAATAAAAAAATAGTCAAAAACCATTGAATGGGTCGAAGGGTCAATGATTCGACCACCCGGGTCAACGGTTTTTGACCAGATTCCAGGTTTTGGGTAACGGCGGTTCAAAAATGTTGGTCATATACATGGTCATTAGCTCAAATTCATGCTTAAAATGGAAATATAAGAATTCTGTGAATTTTCCCTTTAAAATGGGAACAAAATGTTTATTGTTATTTTATAACAGCTATGTGCCATTAGGTATCACATAAACTAAAGAATTAAAAAAAAAGTCTTTTCATTGGGGGAAACATCATTTTGACACGCTGATGCCAATTTTCTAATAGATGACAATAGAACCCAACACATCTTAATTTGTTAGTCCACCTTTTATAAGGTCATTGATCAGCTGATACGTAATCTTGTTGAATGGATAAATAGAAATTGCCTTTGGGCTTCAAAAAATAAGGCACATGTGAGGTCCACCAACCTTTCGGGGTGGGCAATTATATAGGTTTGATCCAGTGCCTCCATCTCATTGAATTTGTCACTCATAAACACTTACCGTGTCAATATTGATACACATATGAGCGTATCCACTTAAATCCTTTGACCCTCGTATTGGTATTTAAGCATAAGGGATTATGTTTAAATTTATTGATTTATAAATAGGGTAAATTATAAAGACCCCCGGTACTATGGGGTTAGTGGCAAAGACCCCCCTGTACTTTAATTTGTAACAAAGACCCCCCCTATACTTTTACTTTGTGACAAATATTCCCTTAACCGTTAAGTCAGATGATGGAAGGTGTTAAATTATTAAAATACCCTACTAAATTTTTTCTATTTTCTTTTTTTGCCCGTTTTTTCTTAAAACCTAATTACCCAAAACACATTTGATTGTCACCGGAAAAGGAACAAAAAAAAAAATCAAACTTTATGACCGTTGATAGGAAAACAAAATAGAATCCATGACGTATCTTCAATCTCTCCATATTCTCTAGAACAAGAATCAATACTCCCTCTCTTCCTCTCTCTCTCTCTCTCTCTCTCGTATTGTTCTTTTTGTATCAGAACACATCCCCAAATTCTCATTTTCTTCATTTGGGTGCTTGTCTGTAATGAGAGAGAGCTTCTTACTCTTCTTGCGGAGGTAGTTCAACGCAGGGTTGTCGCCTTCTAGTATCATTGATCCCTTTGATCCAAAATGCAGATGCAGTCACTTGTATTCGACCAAAGAACAATTCTGCAACAGTGAGATGTCTCACGACATTTTGATCAGATGTAGCGGAGAAGAGGGGTTGAAGCATCTGGTGCTATCGGTTTGCATCGATAAGAAGAAGGTCATTCGAGTGAAGAGGTTGCAATGGAATTTCAGGGGAAATCAGACCATTTTTGTTGTAATGGAATGTCAGCAAAGAAGGTTCCTCTTCTTGCAACTTTGGACAAATTGATCCAAGATATAAACTCAATGTGCATGTGTGTTTCTTAAGCATAATTCTGAGTTGAGATTATGCATGTAGCTTTTGTGTTTTGGTTGATTTCTGGTCATTTGCATGTCAAATTTAGTTAGTGTTTTTCAAAACTATTGAAGGGCGGAAAGAGCATAACTGGACGCCAATTCATGATAAGTTTAAGCCCAGAAGTCCAATATTAGTAGTAGGGGGTACTGACTTCTAACTTTTTTTGTTGCAGAATTTGGAGCGCATGATTATTTATGAACCGGGTTCCTAATGGTTCTTGCTTTTCCCGTTTATGTTTTACGGTTTTAGTGTGGTGATGGGTATCCATGGGGGTTTGGTCGAAGATATCTTTCTCACCATTCAAATAAATAATAAAAGGGTAATTTGGGGATTTAAAAAATAAAATAGTTGAATAAAAATATTTTTTCAAAGATAAGTGACAGAACACTAACGGGGTCTTTGTTGTAAATTAAAGTTCAGGTGGTCATTGTCACTAACCCCATAGTACAGGGGGTGTCTTTGTAATAAGGAAAAACAACAACAAAACTACATTAGAACACACTAGATCTAATGTGGTTTAGTGATTTTGTAGGAAGGAATTTCTTCTTTCGTTTCCTTTCAGGTTTATTTGGTGTCATTGTTGGAAATTAACCTTTTAATTATTTAATTTTATATTCAAATCACGTAATAGAATGGTGAAACAGCATTCATGTAGGTAATGATCATGAATTATTTTATTTAATTTTGTGTTGTCTTACCCATTGCCATTTATTTTTATTTTGTTCATTTTTGTTTGATTTGTTTTTTTTTTCATTCTTTACATTAATTGTTGTTTTATTTTATTTATTTATATTATATTTCTACGTAGCTCCTTCTTTTTTTTTATATATATTTATTAGAAACAACTATTTCTCTTTGGAATTTTAGGTTGGCTTCGGTTTTTTATAGGATAAAATAATCTTATAACATATAACCACCATTTGGCCCTTTACATAGCCAATTCTTACCCTTTCATTTTCGAGCCAATCTTTTGAAGGGTTATGTGGGCCTTATGTGCCTTAAAAGCCCACCTTATAATTGTTGGAAGAGCTTAGCCCATATGAATATTAGATCCCCTTTTCTCTTTAGTCTTGTAGTCGTTGTTAATCTTCTGTTAGGAGGCCTATATAAGGAAACTTGGAGGCCTTTGCAATCATACAATTGCGGTTGCTAACACAAGGGCCTTTTCGTCAATACAGCTGCCAAAATGACAATATGGCTGGATACTTTGGTCAATAAATGTTTTTTTTTTTTTTTTCTATACATCTGTCTCTTTATTGAGCCCACTGGCTTCCACTTTTTGGTCTGAAAAATTATTCAATTAGTTATTTAAGACCGTTTGATTTGAATAAAAATAAGAGAGATACAGAAAGTTCTGGGAAAGTTATTCTATTGACTTAAAATAAAGGAAGAATCATTGATACAAGAGAATTCGAGAACCATTGATACTTGAAATGATGACCTCTACATATTAATATACAGTTGTCAATCCCAAATTTCTTCTATTGACTTATAAGGCCCGTTAGGTGAAACAAACATTTCTCCTGAAACTCCTCTTCGCTGAGGAATCCTTCTTATCTTATCCAATTCTTCACCACTCAATTCCCAATCGAAGATTTGGAGGTTCTCTTTCATCCTCTCCTTGTTGTAGCTCTTTACTATTGGACTCACCCCTTGCTCACGTATCCATCTCAGTGAAATCTGTGGATACAGACAGAGTACGTAGTTACTTCATCAAAACACAATGAATTAAGTGAAGAAATATCAGATAGATTATCATTTAGGCCCTGTTTACATTTCGGTAAGTTATTTATTCGGGTAAATATATACTTATCCAGGTAATTGTTTCCCATGAAAGATTTACCTGGATAAGTGCATTTACCCATGCTCTTTTATTTTCCATGTAAATAAGGTAATGACCATTTTATTCATAAAAATCTATTATTACAAGGGGCATTTTTGTCTCTCTCAAGTGTTGGCAACTTTCCCCGAAGGTGGGATTGTTATTTACCCACGTAGGAGATGAGTATCACTTACCCCAATAAATGATACCCAGGAAAATAAACCTTCCTTAGTCCCCACATAAATCTGAAAAAAGAACATAGGATTTTTGGTCAATGGGCCATTGACCAACTTTCCCCCCTCTCAAAATGCAGAAAAAGAACGCACCCTTAATAATACCTGTGCTAGGCTCTTTCCCTTGGCGATGGCAATATCTTTGAGAATTGGACTATCCATGACTGCAAGGGAACCCCATGAAGCTCCATTTGCTGCCAAAGGTGACCAGGCGCAGACATGAATCCCATTCTCTTTGCAGAATTCCCTCAGCTCTTTCTGTTGCCATGCA